ACTGAATATAAAGGTCAGCTATAGACAGACTAGACTAACAAAAAAATCGCAACAGGCTTCTCCGGCTCGGACATCACAGCGTTAGCCAAGGACGCCGCCATGGGCCCGCTCCGTTCTCTCGGCGAAGCTCTTCTCCACACGACAATGGACCAGATTCGACCAATCGAGCTAGGAGATTTCCGAGCGAGTCTTCGAACCATTCGTCCCAGCGTGGATAGGCAAGGGCTGAAGGAGTATGAGGACTGGGCCAAACAGTTCGGCGAACGTGGCGGATGAGCTCACCACGGGCATGCTGGTGATTTAAGAGGAGTACATAAAGAGCGAGTTATACCCACTGTAGTATGCACCATCCCGGCCTACCAAGTAAAGCAATCGACATAACATGACATCCACAGACGATGCTTAGACGCCCGAAGACAGCTGCTAGAAGAACCATGCGCAATCGCCATATCTGGTAAACTTGAGTATTGGCCTTCGTCGCTCGTTCAGTCGGTAGTGCTGTACGGAAAGTGTTCATTGTTGGCATATACATAAGTATGTATGTACACGTGAATTCTTCGGTCATCTTCCACCGCTCCGTCGCCGCCTTCAACGCCTCCCTCCCTCTCCCTGCGTGTCATTCATCGACGGCTTGTAGCATGGTGATGATGACTGTGTAGTCCGTGACTAGTCGCCGTACCGAGTATATATGGTCATATATGATGCATCGTGAGCTTATTTTGTGTCCTGCCATCTCGCCCTTTTCTTTTTCCTTTCTTTCCAATTCCCGCGACGCCATTCGCAAAAGGCACGGGACGGCGAAAGTATCAAGAAAGCGTCCATCTCTCCCCAATAACAATTCGTCGCCCCCACTTCACTGCTGTCCGTCACGTCGATCGACTTGCCCATCACGGCGGCCTACGACAGCGCCCGCGCATGCATGCACCAACCAACCAAGTAACCAAACCAATCAAATCAAATCACATCACAATCAGGTGGCAGCGCTCTTGGGCGGCAGCTCAGCCCGCGCGAGCGTCCTCCTCGCATCGCTCAGGATCTTCTCCGTGGCGCGGGCGGCGTCGCCGACGCGGCGGTCCAGCGCCTTGCGCAGCTGCTTGGACTCGAGGCGGGCGGCGCGCGCGGCGACGAGCTCGGCGAGGGTCGGGATGGGCGGCCGCGCGTCGATGGCCTCGCCGTAGGGCGCGATGATGTGCTTGACCACGTGCCGGACGTGCTGCGAGAACCGGATCGACGACGTGATGGCCACCACGTCGCCCTGGCGGAGCGAGTTGGCGGGGTCGTGGACGAGCTTGTGCCGCGGCTCCTTGAACCACTGTTCGTCGGGGCGAGAGCGAGTCAGTCAGTCGGCTGGTCTCCCCGAATGCTGGTTGGTGTTGATGTTTGTGTTGGTGTTGGTGTGAGGGAATCGGATCAGGTCCGAGCCGTCAAGCGAATGGATGGATGGATGGGTGGATGGATGGATATGATGATATGCGATGGACAGATCGGACAGACACACCTTGTGTACTCTCTGCTCCCACCTCTGGCCGCCTAGTCGCACCTTGACCGTCTTGTCCATCAGGCCGGCCGACACGACGATGCCGTGCAGCTCCCTGGCCGCCCTTCGCACGCCGGCGGCGGCGATTTCCGACGCCATCGCGTCTTGTGTCTGATTTTGTGTGTCTGACTCTGGGTCTGTCTGTGTTGCTGTGTGTTTGTCTCTCTCCCCCTTCTTCTTCTTCTTCTTCTTCTATCCTCTTCTTCTCTCCTCCTCTCAATCGGATCTCGGATGGGTCAACCAATTGGCGTTCGTTTTCTAAGTCATTCGAGGTCGGTAATGGACTCGTGTGCTCGTTCGTCTCGGACGGTGATCTCGTTCAAAGCTCGGTTTTGAGGTTCTAGAAGAAGTGGAACTCTATCTAGGAAGGGCCCCACGTAAATTTCGAGGTTGTCGGCTTATCGATCAGTTATAGTTCCACGAAGTAATTAAGTACCTGTTAGTCATTTCTTGGCATTAGACTAAGTAAGGTACCTGTGTAGGTGACCAGTCGGTACCTAGTTGAAGAACATGAGCAACCAAGTTGTTGAGTTATTATCATTACTTCTCATAGTTCTATTTTGTTTAGAGAATCTTACTAGGTGCTGTTCGCTAAACATTATTTATCGACCTATTGAAGACTTTAAACTTCCCCCTTTTTTTTTATATAAACCGTCACTTATGCCCTTTAAGAGGCCGAAGCAGCGAATCTAGGTATAGAAATAGTATATGTAGCTGATCTTCCGTATATTGTTGAGAAGTTTCCTTTCTTCTTCTTTATAGCATTGATATCCGCTGGTTTTCGCAGTAATAACTGTCACGGAGTAGAGCGTATTGGCCAGATTGAAGCCCTGAATACACACACACATGGCGTTTTAAAATTCTCGAAAAAGCGTCCATTCCTAATGCTCTGTATATAGGTAAATTGATCATCCTATGCGTCAGATTGTCTCCTTGCTGCAGGTCCCAGCAAACTAGTCTCCTCGTCGACAATCGCCGTTCTCTCTTTTACCTCACGAGGCTTAGTCTTTTGCAGGCTGAGCCATATCGTCCCACCGATGATCAGAACGCTCCCTATGAGACTCAGCACCGGAGGCGTCGTTCCCCAGATGGCTCGTTCGATGATGAGCGCGAAAACCATTTGGAAGTACTGAGAAGAAGAAAACCCGATTAGCAAGATCCAACTGGGCCATCAGGCTTCGAGTCTCGGGTGATTGGGTCTTACCGTCATATTCGTCGCTCTTCCGGCTTTCTCTCGCTGCAGCCCTTCGGTTAAGAGGAACTGCAGCAGGAATCCCGCCACGCCGATGACGGCCAGCAAGGTCCTACGCGACGCGGGTTAGCTCCATCTCCGTGTAAACCGAATAGCGGTCCTAGAGAGCCTACCATTGCACTGCGCCCTGAGGCAACATGAAGTGGAGATCCGGATGAACCAGGATAATCAGAGCCGAGCCGACAGTTGACAACACGGCAAAGTAGTTGACGCTAACCAGTGAATGTGCCCGTTTTCCAATGACCCGTATCGTACTGTATGCCGCCGCCGCCGCGAACGTCCCTGCAATAGAGCAGATAATAGCAAGCGTCCGCTGTGGTGAGGACGGAGGGCCCACGGGCAAGCCCTCCTGGGGGCCATCTACGATGAACATTGTCATCGTCGTCTTCCCGTTATCTGGTGCAGCCGCGGACCCCCCGAATAGAAAAGCTGGTCGGGCAATGAGGAGGACTCCCGCCAGCGAAATAAGGCCGGAGCCTGCTTCTTGGATCCGATATGGTTCCTATAGAAGACGTCAGTTGCTCATTTATACACTCTCTGCCATCCCTTTCAGCTTCGCGACGGCTTACCTTTAGCCAGACATAACAGAGAATAGCAGTCCAAGTCGGGACCAAGAAGGAGATGGCGGTGGCATCCGAAATCTCTAAGTAAGAGAGGGAGTCTGCGGGGAAGACCCCGTCAGCGTCCACATCTATGTAACCGACCTGACCCACGAGGCGAATAGGTGAGAACAAACTCACAGTACAAGCCAAAGAGGCCGATGAAGCCAAATGTACCGCGCATGACGAGCAGCCCCCACACGCGTCGCGGCCCAAGAGGAGAGTCGGGGACTCTTTTGTACCACATGTACGACATTCCTAGGATAGAGGTTGCCAGCATGCGGACGAAGATGATGTGCAGGGCATGGAACTGGTTGGGCGACTCCTTGGACGTCAGCAGCTTTGCCGCCGTGTTCATCTACAGCGGCAAGTCCGGCGTTAGCGGGCTGAAAAATCAGCAGCAGCAGCAGCGTTTAATTAGAGGCGTAGAAGAGGCACATCTAGGGCGTGTCGGGGGAGGGTAGGTAGGGCAGCCAGTAAATCCAAACGCACCACCGAGCCAAAGGTCTGCGCTGCAAAGACCAAGAACAGTCCGAAATTCCTCTCGTAGAATTCATATAGATGTCTCCGCCAACCCTCGTTCTCGCGATCGGCCGCTGTGGTAACTTCTTCATCGGTGCCATCCGTAGGCGCGGTCGGCGGTGGTGGATCAGCCGCTGCCGAGCTTGAAGTGACCAAGTGCTCATGCGGCTCGGCTGCGGCCAAGCCTTTGCGACCGTCATATTGTGTCCTATACCCCATCTTGTTGTTTCCCATCGGGTGTTCTATATCGGTGGCCCAGACAGCAGATTGGCCAGATTGGCCGCGTCCCTTCTTTGCTAGCGTTGCTGGGTCCTGCGGATTGTTGTTGTCTAGATGAGTGAAGTTTTCTTATGCCGGCGCCCCACAGCTCACAAAGTACTATAAATTACGTCGGAGTTTGCGCTACGGCTACCCGGCGTCAAGTACCTACACCACGTTTGAGAATACGTATTTGATTTAGGTACGTCGTCATATTAACGAAGTAGTAAAAGCGCCTTGATCCATTGAGTGTACAAATTACATAGAATGAAGAGAGTGGGAAAGAATGAATAAGAGGAACTACTGCGTCACATGCTGCACGAAGTCACAAATTCTATGAATTGACTGTACTCAGAATGCCAGTTCGCAGAGTTTTCTGATCAATGTGGTAATAGAATATACTTGATAAAAATTGTTACCGATATGTAATTGAGAATTAGTTACTGGCTTGTACTGCAAGTTCAGCATATTAAACACCAATAAAGGCTGTCGGTCACTCGCATCAGCCCGGCCGGAGACAACGTCTCCTTACTAGATCTTAAAGACATTGGTAATGATACATAGCAGGTAAAACATCCAAATGATGCACCGATTACAAGTCATGATCAATACTCTGTATTAGTCAACAGGAGATGTTATGAAGAGAGTATGAAAGTGACGTGACGATCAATGTGGTCTTGGGGGAACATCGCAGTGTATTGCAGCTTATACAAGTAAACTTCAACAAACAAACTACAGGCTGTGTTAACTATGCATGATCGCAGTCATGGGGAGTATAAAAAATTGATGTATCAAGTGGAATCATCAGCGTGAAGCTGCGGCTGCAGTAACTTGGCGCGTATCGGGTTTGAACCGATGACCTCTTCATCCCAAATGAAGTGGGATAACCACTTCCCTAACGCACCATTGCTCATAATTTCACAGAGTTGTGTAAGCTTGTTGAAGCAACTTCCTTGTGTTACGGTCTAAGTTGGTTGCTGATTGCTGTGGTAGTGAGTGGGTATGGCCGGATTAAGGGGGGAGAGGCCTTAAAAGAGTGAAGTCATTGGACATAGAAGCGTCATAATGTTTACTCCTTGTGTGGCTTACGACTCTATGTTTGAAATGAGAGGCTTTTCAGTCATTAACCCCTCTAATGAAACTTGCTTGCAAGTAAGAACCTACAAGATCCTCCATGGGGTGGATCAACTGCCTTGATGCAATTGCCTAAGGTACTTTACATTAGGTACTTACTTACCTACCTAGAGTAATGTAAAACATAGTTGTTAAACTGACACACTCTCAGATCAATTGAATACCGTATGGGAATAAGTAAACATTAAATGTTACCGAGGGAAGTCAATTGTTGTTCACCCAGTCAGCATTCCACAACTGCGCCAATCTACTTCCCGCGGCTCTTAAGGTAGGTAGGTTGTATGGTAAGTATAACCTCACGTTATAGAGTATTACTACCTACCTTACCTAGATTGGGTCCTACGCTCATACTATTCGCATACTGACATAGTAAACAATAGCACATCAATGAGAAGGTCCGGCAACTGCTAGAGAATAGATGAATTGAGAGCATGCTAACTACCTTGGCAATTCAGCCAAACTCATTCAACAACCCGTAGGGTATCCAACACTTATCCTTTAGCGAGTCTGAGGAGACCAGCCATGTCACCGTTAAACACATCAGAGTCGCCACCATAGGTGTAGGCATCGTTATATTGCCAGATGGTATAGTACGGCCAGCTGCCAGGGGGCGTACCGGCGCTGCTGCTGTATCGAGCGAGGACCAGAGGGTTGGTGCCGGTGAAGGCGTTCGAGTTGCCCGTGCAGGACGACCACCACGAGGGATTGGTGTAGAGTAGGGGATACACGCCGGTCTTGGAATGGTAGGTGTTGCTGAAGTCCTTAATCCAGGCCACGGTGGCGCTGGCCGAGAGCACGCAGCTGCCCTCTAGATCTAGCATGCCGGGCAGAGTGATGCCATCACCGGACCAGCCGCCGCCGTGGGCGAGGAAGTAGTTCGCCTGGGTCGCTCCGGAGCTCGTGTCCTTCAAGAACCAGAGTGTCAGTTATTGCTGTCTGGACCGTAATCTACGAGCAACTAGAAATCCAGCACGCTTCGAGGACACCGCTCTGGCTCAGAGAGGGATCCTCCCCCCACCCTGCTCAAAAAAAGACGAAAAGAGCCAAGAAACCGACGTACCAGATGTGCGAAGTGGTAACCCCCTCTTATGAGCCCTGCATTGGTAGCTCCGGTATAGTGAGAACTGAACTTGGGATCGAGGTAGTTTGTTCCCTCAGTCGCCTGCGTACAAAGTCAGTTATACCGATTGACTTGTATGGAGCGGGCTCATATCCGTGAATCTCACCTTGATGATGACGAAACGGGCACCGGCGCTGTACGCGGCGGCGAAGTTGACGGTCGACTGGTAGTGGGAAATATCGAAGCCCTGAACAGTGGCAAGCACGCCGTTGGCGAGTCCCAACAGGGACACAAGGGTAGCCTTCATATTGGGTTGATAACTGGGTGCTCCCGTTTTGAATTGTGGCCGTGGCGATCAGACGGGCTGGTGACCCGGGGCGAAGGGCGAACTTTATACTAACATCTGCGGCCTGCCCATCCTTGAGTCCCCAGATCGCCGACATGCCATCGCTCCCACAATAACCCACTTGAAAGCCTGACGACGAGCGAATAATAGACAGAGCCGCGTTAGCATGTAGGTCGGCAGCGCTGTCATTCGTTCGTTGTAGCGAGGTGAGACGTGGTAACCAGCACTCCTCTCTGCACCACTTCACTTCGGCGCGGGGGGGAAGCCGGGACTGGCGATCTCCCCCCTCCTGTCTGCATATCGAATCGCGGAAAGGGTTCTAGAAAGTCAATTTCTAGGTCAGGGATGCGGTCGATCTTATTTCCATTGGAAGCACTCTAGTTGCATTGTCGAGGGCAGCCTACCTCGCCATCTGCCCGTGGGGCTGCATCAATGGGCACTCACCTGCCGATCGTGGAACAGATGAAACTAACCTGATCGTTTGCGGGGGTATCATTGCGACAGTGGTGGGCGGTCGAATTCCGCCTACACCATCTCCTACTCTATGTTCTCTGATTCAACATTTTCGAGATAGGTAGGTCGTTTCGTCCTAGCGCTTCGAGATTTGCAATAAGAAACCAGTCTTGCCATCGTGTATTAATACTCAGTTGTCCTAGTGCATAATGGTAGATTACGAGGCTTAACAAGGAAGGTTGTTACAGTCGCTCTGTTTTCTCTGTACTCCCGCGGCTGAAACCCACGACATTTACCAACACAACTGGGTACGACCAGATTCCCAAAAGGGGCTCAATATAATGCCATGCACATCCGCAGCGCCGGAGCCGGCCTATCCAAACTCGGAATTCGCCGGCATTCTCGAAGTGCTTTCGGTTTCGACGGGGGGTTGGCCCATGGAAGCCCCGGGGTCCGAAGACGGCAACCGATATATTCATGCATCCCGCGAGCAGCGGATTTACCAAGGGATCGTCGTGGCGAGCACGGATCCTGCTTTCGAGTTGTTCTACCAGAACGCTGGCGGCCTTGTCTAATGACATCATTCATATCATACTTACCTCACGCGCCCAAGTTGTACTTCTTGATAGGGAATGACGTCCAATCTGGTATGATGTTCTGCTTTCTTTTATATACTTAGGTAGCTGTGGAAGTTATGTTGATTCGGAATCCTTGATTTGGTCAGTAGATGGGCTACCATCGCGCTCGATGTCTACCTTGCCGCTTGAATTTCCTCGTTGCAAGACCCTCCCGCCAATAGGAATGAATACGTAGGTGATGTCACGATCTGATGTTGCACTCAGGTTGACCCTATACTCGACGTTGGTGTTTCCAACCCATGTACTGAACTGCAGAGAATGGCGCACTCCTTCCTGAAAGTAATTGAATACTTATATTATCAAAGTTTGCGATCCTCTGAACTTAGATCGCTATTGGTTGCGGATGTATCAGTTGGGAGGCGATGATTACCTGTAGTTGGTACCTGTCGCCGTGAGGGGTTCTTCAAAGACGCTGTCTGTTCGCAATTCCCCTCCGCTTTTCGTATCAACGGAGACATTCTGGCAATTTATAGCCGCAAGCTGGATATTCGTCCCAAAGTCGGAAACTTACACGACGGCGTTCTTTTTTCTGCCCGGCACTAATGATCTCTCGAATCTAAGTAGTTAAATGAACAGCGTCATTTAGCGTTCATGTGGGCGATAGTCGGCGTGGGCTTGGGATGAAGGGTAAGTATCTACATACACTTGCTGCGATCATGGTCATAATTTTATCGAGAGGGGAGAGCAAGACGCGCATGTTGGGATACTCCGGGCTGGCCTGTTAAAGGAGTAGGCATACGTCCGTACGTACCTACCTAGGAAATAATGATACCCCCGCCGATTCGAACAATTCGAAAAAGAGTGGAGCGTTGCACGAGAAGGTAGTATGAGTGTGGACAAGTGTATTTGAATAACTGCGTCGGTTCCGCCGGAAGTCATTATTCTGTCCGGATCAGCAGTCCGGGGCCTACCTACAATAGCAACTTTATGGGGTAGAACTCGGGGTCTCAGCAGCAAGGGCGGACACTTACCTGCACTACACCATATTCAGAAAATATTCAGAGTGCAGACTTGGAATACTTAGTACCTTTGGTAGAGATGCGATTGGTTCTGGAGGCTATCAAGATTGGGGGGATGGAAAGCATGTATGTGTTGCATCATTCAATCTGTCAAAATCGTTTAAGCTGTCAGAGTTATTCAATCTGTCAGATAGTAGCAATTGGCCCAATCAGTGATTGCTGTAATCAAAGACAATATCGAGAAAGCCTGCATAGAAGGGCTCGGAATCGCAAGGAACCTTAATTCATTCAGTTGCTACCTACTTCATGCTGCCGCATCTGACTCTCTGACTGTATCTTATCGAGGTTTGCATGCACGTGGGCTCGCCTCCCGCCAGACTCACACCACCATCGTGAATACCCAGAGGCTAGTAAGCAGCGACAAGACATGGATGGCAAGAGTAAGATTTACGGTGCCAACCATGAGCTAAAAACTATTAGGTAACTGGCTCACCTAGGGAGTTGTTTAGCTCCTCAAGTCAGTATATTCGTACCTCGGTGTATAAGTGGTAGCTTGCTGTTATTCCCCTCCTTCGATCATGAGGGCCCGAGAAAGTCGAGACAAACTCCGTATATGGAAGCACCAGATATTGAGAGGAAATGGCCGAACGACGCCATCCCGCCTGCATTCGGTCTCCGACTGCGTTGTCGGCGGGTTTTCAACGTCCAAATCAAGCTCCTGATGGCTCGGAGAATCATACCGGCATCACTACCACGCTCTCCCATCCTCCACGCTGCATGATAGGCTAGAGAGGGGAGAAATGGGCCCACCACGGCGCGGCTTACATGTACCCAGACCGGCGCAGTCCAGGTAGCAGGTACTAAACAGCTGGCGCAAGCAGGCTCCGTTTCGCTGCGTGCATGCCGTATAAACCGCTGTTCAGCGTCTTCGAGACAAGGTATCCTGTACCCAAGCCGCGATGGTTGCGTACGGTGTAGTTACAAGTACCCAGTGTGCGTGCGAGGGATGCCGATCGATTAGTATCATGAAGTTTCCCTTCCGGATCCTCGATAATGGATGGATACCTTATACTTAAAGTAGGCGCATTCTGTCGACAAAGCCCTTCTCTCACCCACTGCCTGCCTTCTCCCTTTCTCCCTAAATACTCGTCTGACTCCTCCCGCCTGACCATCTATATCACTCACATCACATTCCACCACACTGCTATATATACGATTTATACACGCGAGGCCCCATATTCGGTCAATTAGGTCTCAGAGTCTTGTTACATTTATTACAAATACTTTATAACGCCGTTTGTTACTCACCCACTAT